CCTGAGAAATATGATCTTTTACATTTGATCATTCAGTGAAAGATCCAAGGTAATCGTGGTCCTGGTAGAAGAAGAACATCATGGCTCTAAAATCTAAGGCAATGGTATGGAAAATCAACTACATCGTTATTTAGAGCTGCTGTCAATAAAGTCACGATATCGAATATGGTAGCCAACCTGATATCCAACGATCGATAACGGTCAACGAACTAGAAGAAGAAGAACGGTGACAGCGGCTGTATTTTCTAGTAACTATTGTTTCTGGAACATAGTCCTTGTAGTTTATACGTTAGGGTAAATTCAAGAACTAATGTATTGCAATAAAATTCTTGTTTTCTGAACATTCATGTTAAAGGCCAGGCCTCTTCAGCTTTAGGAAAACTGTCCCTGTCACCGTCGAAATCTTGAGAAGTCTTTAAAAAAAAGTAAGGGCTATTTCCTCGGCGCGGACAGGTATTATTATGTAGTGAGACTGGGCAACCACAAAAAATCAATCTCTCCCTGTCCGGAGTTAGGTATGGTACTAAAACATGGAGGTTCGGAAGGACAACGGCGAGTTTTTTACACGTATGGAATTGCTGGCGCCAGTAACCACGCCAGTCCTGTTTGCACGCCAGTCAAGGTTTATACTAGATTGAACATAACAGGATATTTTGGCACGACAGTTTCATAGTTTGCACAGTGGACTTGTGATCATTTACCCAATAGTAATATGTTAATCAGAAAATAAAAATTGGAGTTCGTGTAGGGTGTCGTTTAATTCTAAAAAGTATTTGTTAACGAGATGATTAGCATGGTGGAAAAGAGAAGAAATAATAAGCGGAGAGGCCGAAATTGTATTAGAAACTGAATTGCTACAATGTTCTGGGAACACCATTTATTGCTGCGTAAACTGCTCATTTTAAGTGATATGAAACCGAAAGAAAAATACTTAGACTCTGCACGAGGAAGTGCAGAGACTACATGTCAGCACTCATCCACCAAGTAGCCAACATAACATCAATTAAGGACAAAATCCTAACTCTGAGCTGGAGATATGTCCTCCGCACCATAGCTGACTCAAACAACCAAGCCAAACATACACTTAAAACTCCTCGCCATTGCCGCTGGCAAACACTCACCATGGATTTTAAAAGTTACATTCCCTCTAGCAAAACTTCTTCATAATTCTGAAAGCGAACTTTCTGATAAGTATTTTGATATATTTAAATCAAAATTGTTGGATTTAAATTTTTTGTGCGCTCCTCAACACCTTCTGAACCCCAACTTTCTAGCACTCCACCACCAAAATCACCATACGCAAATCACCCCGACGTTTACCACACTCCCCGGTACAAGGTAAAATCATAAAGATATAGTCTATCTATTTAACCACAAATTTAAAAATATTATAATATAAAATCTATATATTATAATAATAATTATAAAATTATTATAATTTAAAATAATCGTAAAACATAAATGTTTACACGTGCAAATTCAATTTAAATAATTGAAAATAACTGAATAACTGAAAACTTTGTTTTCAAACTTCCACAAAATTTATTTTTATCACTACAGCTGTTTCGGCTGATTGCCTTTCTCAAGTGATCTATTTTTGGCTTGGGTTTACAAATTTATAGTCTCTAATGAAATAGCCATCAATTTAAATAGCCGATAAAATGGTTACTGGCTTATGAAAAGCTGGAAGATTCTAACTTTACTGGCACAATGCATGAACTTTTCGGAGTTGCTCGCCACTAGTTGCCAGTAACTGGCTAAATATATTTCTTCGATAATTCTGGGGACGTTTAAAATCTTATGGATTTCTCTGGAGGGAATCGCCAGGTATTATAGTTAGCACTGCATTCGGTACTCAGAAGTTTTCCTTTCTGAGAGTCTTTTGAGAAGGTACAGTATTGTGCGAATTAATGGAATCATAGGCTGTTTTAATGAAAAAACAGTTTATTTAGTAAAAAATTATATTTTGACAAAACTATAAAGGTAAACTTACATCATTCAGTAGGAAATATGTCCCCTTTGGCAGCAATTACTGCTTTTACCCGTTTTGGCATAGATTCTATGAGTTTCTGGCAGTTGTCAGATATCCTTTCATCTCGATACCAAACCTGAATGGCCGCTTCTATCATTTTTGTTTTAGTGGTACAGTCGATTTTTCGCAGTTTAGCTTTGCAAATGGCCCATAAATTTTCAATGGGGTTGAGGTCGGGCGAATTACCGGGTCAATGTAAAACATTAATCTTCTTATTTTTGAAACATGCCATCATTTCCTTTGATTTGTAACAGGGAGCAGAGTCCTGTTGAAGAATCGCTCCTCCTTGGGGTTGACATTTTTGGAGTTGTTTGTTCAAATACTTTTCCAACATGGATTTGTATTTTGGCTGTTCATCATACCTTTAATTGGCACCAAAGATCCAACCTCCATGTATGAAAAACATCCCCAAAACATTTTCTTGACTGGATGTTTTACGGTTTGGTCAATATGAGATGGTGTAAGCTTTTCATTATCAGACTTCCTGACGAATTTCGACCGCTGTTCCTGAACTATAAAGTGAGTTTCATCTGTAAATAGGACTTTTTCCAGTCGCCTACAGTCCAATTAGAGTATTTTTTGGCCCACAGTAGCCTTTGTTTCTTCATTCGTTCAGTTAGAAGCTGTTTTTTTCTGTGGACGAATTGCCCTTCTACCATTCTCCAAAAGTCTTCTACGAACAGTTGAGTCATGAATCACTATAGCTGATGCTGCTAGATCTTGTTCCAGGTCTTGGCTTGATTTTCTTGGGTCCAATTTGCTCTTTCGAAGTAAAAATCTATCATCTGCTGTTGTTGTTTTTCTCTTTCTTCCACATTTTCCTAACCTTTTCACATCCACTGATCCCGTTTCTCGTTTACGCTTCAAAATTTTGCTTACTACCACCTGACTCACTCCACACGTTCTAGCAATCTCTCTTTGTGACATACTAGTGTGTTCACTTAACGTGACAATCTTTTCACGCTTCCTAGGCGCAATATCCATGTTGGAATAAAACCAAAAACAACACAAAATAGTACAATAGTACAAAAACAACAGAAGCTTGGTAAGAAATGACCTAAAACACACTCAAACACACCAACACACAGTAAGGTTAGGTTTTCAATGCTTGGTCAGCTGTCAACTGTGTAGGTAGTGTTGCCAAATGTGAATATTGAAAAAATGAAAAAAAAATTCACATTGATTCCATTAATTCGCACAATACTGTAGATGATTTATACTCTAAAACGTGTCGATTGTAGGTTTTATAAGGATGGATAAGAGTTTTTACGTGTATTTTACCAATTTTTCCTGCATGTGAATAAAGGAATCGTGCTCTGTTCCTAACCCGATCCAAAGTTGCCTTTGATCAGCGTTAGAGCTGAGAATCTTGGTGAAAAGTACCTCCAGATAGTTCGCTGTTGGGCTGATAGAGAGCCTTTCTCCCATCATCCCGTTACGTATGATTTTACCCGATGTTCTTGGGCTGCGAAAGACTATTGTCTGCGTTTTGTTTAGTCGAACTGTCCTTTATTATACCATTTCTCGACGTTGTTTAGTAGAGATTGAGCTCTTAGAAATGTTACCTCAGGATTGTACTGTTTGGTTGTTGTTAGTAGGGTCGTCTACATAGAATGTACCTGGAGTATTTGTGTATATGATGTACAACAGTGGTGCTAGTGTTGAACCTCCAGCTTGGACTCCAGCTTGTGGAGTAAACAGTTTTGAGAAGTTATTAGATATCTTTACTCTAATAGTTCAGTTACTCAGATATTATACAATTTTTTTTTAAATTACCTGAGAGTTGCATTAGTCCACTAGCCAGACTTGATCGAAGGCTTTTTAAACATCAAGCTATGTGGCAACAGCGATGCTGTTATTGTTTATTGTTTGGGTTCTAAAGGAAGAGCAAGTGATTTGCTCTGAATTTGCTGTTGGGTCCACGAATTTGCTGTTGGGCGTCAAATCCTTGTGATGACCTGTCGAATTGGCTTACAGAATGTTAATGGTTAGTTGCTCATTCTTAATTTGTCTCTTGTGGGATGAAATAATTATACACAATATTTTTTTTCATTGATTTATTAAACGAAAGGTGAGGAAGCGTTAGGTTAAACATACACAGGGCGGTTTGCGCCGCGTCTACACCTCGTCGGCTGCCGCGCGGCTTAAAACACATGAGGCGGTTTAACAGTGGCAGTAGTTTTGCCATTGTATTCGGTGTTCTCAAATTAAGTCGAGTTTTGGACGAGAAATGGTATAATGATGTCTCTAGGATCATCTAGTGAAAGTGACGACGATTTGTTTTTCCTAGTGTAAGTTTACTTCATATGAAATCAAAGAAGAATAATAAGAAGAAACGCAGGTATTAGATACATTCTATAGTAAATAAATAAAAAAAATAAAGAAACGTCTTACACGTTAGTTAACGAATTTAAAGATGACCCAGAGAAGCATCTTTCGAAATAAAACTGTGGGTGACCTCTTCCCAAGTGTGTTTTGTCTTTATTTTATTAAAATAATTATCTGATTGCATATCATAAATTGCTAGCCGTATGTCAATTTCGGTAACAGCTTCCATAATAAATACAATTTGGCAACTACTCACAAAAGTAACCAAATAAAACCGCTGCAAAAGAGTCACACGTTTGTGTTAAAGCACGAGATATCTATTACTGATGTGCCGCCGGAAGTCATAAAATCGCCGAGGGCGCATGGTACTCAGCACAGGCCGCGCGGAGGCCGACGCGGCGATGGCTCGTCTGTGTTGTACAACATAAGTACCATAGACGAGAGACCGCTTTCAACGCCGACGCGGCGCACATTACTCTGTATGTGTTTAACCTTATCCTCATCATATCTTAAAGTCAAGAAGAAGTGATTCGGACATCTAATTTTCCAACAGGTTACTTTACGATAAAGTCTACTAATGAAGAAGTTTAGGAAGGTTCTTTATTTAAATAGGTACGAATAAAGCAAACAATAAATATAAAAAAAAAAACATAGATATTTATTAAAAAATAACGTTTAGTTACAAAATTATTTACAAAATAATAGACAAGTATTTTTAATTAAAAAACGATGTACTCGATTTGTTACTTTTAGAGTGTACCGTTTTAATGTATTTCTAATTCATATTAGTATGTATACCAATATTTCAGATTCGTCTTTAAAGGAGCATAACTGTAAGGAATCCGTTAAACGTTGATGCTGCGCTTACTAGAGATAATGTTAATGTAACTATTTTTAAGCCAACTTCCGTCTTACCTTCTGCCAACCTAAAAATTACGTATAAATTAGGTATTGGTAACAATTATACTGATATATATATATATATATATATATATATATATATAATATATATATATATATATATATATATATACGATTATGCGGAAAATATGATACTTAACACCCTGGATTTGTTTTTTAAAATTTGTCTCTCTAGAATATGAAAAAATAATGTCTACAATTATAGACTTTGGCAGTCAATGAAATAAATTATGGTATTATTGAAAAATAAAAGTAAAGTAAATTAAACATAAGTAAGAAATATAAATGTAAGTATTTATTTTTCTTGGCACAAAAAAGTTACAATCTTTTTGAAGGCCCGCCCAAATGCACCTTATATTTCAATCATGTGAATCTATACTTGCCCTTGCAGCCAATATTCTTGCATCATTCATAAAGGGACATCCTAGTGTGCTCAGGCACATAGATTGTATTGCCTAATTATACATCTTCAAGAGGCCTTACTTCAGTCCCTCATTAATAATTATTTCCTTGATAACATCATGGAACTCATCTGGTATTTCAAGTATATCCTCCATATCATTTTAGTAAAGGATTTCCAATTTATCTTGGAGTTATATTTCATCGCCACAGTCACTCTTAAGGCCTTCTATATCAGAAAGGCTTTTTTCTAGCTGTTTAGGAAGGTCTTTTTCGTTAAAAGTTTCCTCCTAGACATGATGACATAAAGAAAATATCTTAAAAAATAAAACTTTTCTTTTATACCTACAATTGTCTACAATTGGAGACATAATATTTTCATAACATTTTTATATTCAAGTAATAATATAATAATTTTATTTCAAATAAACACATAAAATTAAATGAATGACCAATAATTTTTGAAAATTACGAAAGTTTACCTAAATAGAACGCAACAACCACCATGTTAACAGCTGTAATAAGTTGGTGGTTCTCTATGCTAGAATTTACTGTAAACCAGAAAATAATTATTACAGAATGTTTGTGGAAGTATACGATATCACACAACTGTAAAACGAAGCGAATTGTGGGTAGGCCGAATAATGGAAAAATAAGTCTACAATTATGAACACCGTGAGTCAAAGGGCTAACCACGAATTGACTTTTCCTCAATAAGTTTTTCGAACAAAACAGAATAAAACATAACAGGAATATTATACTTACGTTCTGACACTCATAAAGCCTACATGCATCAAAAATCCCATGGACATACTAAATATTATATGTCCTACAATAAACTCCCAATCATGATTGAAGATTACTGGTAAGTGTGATCTTGGTTGTGCATTACAGAACAAGTAAAATGGTGTACAAATCAGTCTTACAGTCAAGGCGAGTATATACCACCATTTATTGGAATGCTAAAAAATAAAATAAAAAATAAAATAATACAAAAACTAACATAAACTAAATTTCTTAACATTAACCAATTATTATATGATGTTGGACCTTATTTTTTTTTAGAAGATCTGTAAATGGACCTGTTATTAATTGGTGTTATTGATTGGGTAGTTTTGGAATGTTTTTTTATTTAAATCCAGAAAAACTCTCACTTTTCCTCTTTGAAATACGTAAAAAGAGATTATAATACCTTATTTTTTAGAAAAAATCATCTATACTTTTTAATTTCGTTCTATCAATTATTGCTTATGTGAATATATGCTATCATTTATGTGATTTTTTAAGTTTCATTACATGAAAGAAATACCATGTACTAACTGAAAACACTGTAAAGGTGTCTATATTGGGCAAACCAGTCAACTGCTTTAATCCAGAATCCAAATCCTACATAGGACAGACCAACAGAAGAATCAATGTTAGACGAGAAGACCATCGAAATTCCATGGAAAGGAAAGAACAAAACGTCGTCCCTTGCATAACGTGTCTCAAACAGAGGACTTACAAAAAACATTAACCAAACTACAATGCTAACTGTCATTTAAATTAAAAGAAAACGCAAAATCGGAGAATCAAAAGAAATAGAAAAAAAATCCCAAAGAGATCATGCTCAAATGCTTCCAATAACGTGGTAAATGGTATTACAGAAAAAATCAACAATACATCAGACCACAAGACCGCCTAGCAGGACCGCTCCTACCTAAACACGGGCAGAACCAATCACAAGAAGCTTTGCCAATTACCATTCGAGAGAAGTGTACCTTGATCGGCTATATTAGTAACCACACCGACCAGGAGAGCCTGTTTTCCACCCAGACCAAGATCTCGACTTCACCGAAGAAGTCGAGGAACAAATAAAAAGGTCTGAGGACCCAAATGACCATTATCTCTCCAATTTCACCGAACTAATTAAGAATAGTTCACCACAGAAAGCTACAGGCCCGGATCAGATAACAAACAGAGCCCTAAAATAGACAGTAAGTTCTCTTAAAACTACAGGCCAATAAGCTTACTTCCAGCAATCAGCAAAATAGTGAAAAGAGTCATCCTCAGCCGATTCCAAGCCGAAACAAATAGGCTTGAAATAATTCCAGAAGCACACTTTGGCTTCACAGCTAATCATTCCAGCGAGCTACAAGTACTTAGATTAACAGAGTGCATAGCAGCTGGATTCAATGACAAGCAATACACAGGAGCAGCTTTTTTGGACGTAAGCAAAGCCTCCGATAGAGTCTGGCATAAAGGGCTGATATACCAAATTAGACGATATGACTACAGCTGGGTAATGACAAAACTAATCTCTTCCTACTTGAGCAACCTGAGCTTCAGAATTCAGATAGGCCAGTCCTGTCCGAACTTAGAACACCGCTGGAGTGTCACAGAAAGCAGTCCTGTCACTTCTACTTAAAAAGAAACATCAGCAACCAGAAGATCAATTTACTGTATAGAACAATCCCTTCGAATGGAAAAGCGAGGCCAAAAACCTGGGAGTCATCATAGATAAAGGACTGACATTTTAAAAGCATGTAGATGTCAGAGTGCAAAAAGCCAGCAAGGCTAAAGCATCCATTAGCGGACTTTAAGGTAATAGAATTTCTTTTAAATATTCTAACCTATTATGTAGCCCATAACTTTTTCAAAATGGCTGTCTATTTCGTTATTAATCAGTAATAGGTAGTCAAAGGGCAGATACGAAGAATAAAAAAATATGTACTGTAGATATTAGTCATGATGACTTTATACATTTTTTATTTAAATCTAAATACTTACGTACCGTAACTGAAAATTTATGAGATAGTACCCTCCCTACGATGGATGAAATTTCTGCTAGCAGGAAAACAATTGTTGGTGTAAAATATTTTTCTGAAATTAAAAAAAAAATATTTATAAAAAGTACACTTCGAAAGTAAAAAAGAAAAAAAAAAGAGAAACATTAAAAATATGAAGGTGGGGATGGTTTACAAATAGACAAGGCAAAAAACTCGGGTTCGTTTGAAAAAAATATTATTATGAAGCATACTATTACTGTTTTGTGTAAAACTTAGAGGTTGCTGGTTAAATGAATTTAGAAGTAATAATGGAGATATAATGCAATATTTTGACTGTAAATAATAGTAGCGAAAATAGCAAATATTTATTTGTAACTAAATTACTAGAATTAACTAGCTTTAACTCATTATTGTTACCTGTACAAAGAACACAGACTTAACTTACCCTTTGGTATATTCGTATATTTCATCGTATGCAGTAGATTAGCAATGGTACCACGTCACGACCTTAAGGGACGCCGAGCGCCGAGGCTCGATAGGACGAGAACCGATACACTTGATGTTTTAAGTACACTGTCTCGTGATGAAGTGTGTGTCTTGAGATGGTCAGAAGCCCTTTCGCCATACTTCGATCACCTTAGGTGGTCCGTAGGGCAAGGGTATACCAATAAATCACTCTATTGTATTGCGATTTTGAATGGCGATAATTTAAGTTAATTGTCAAAGTAATATGATACTTTAAATTTGTTTCTGTGTTTGCGACACAAAAAAAGAAATAGACAAAATGACAGTATTCTTTACTTCGTTTGGAGTACCAGAAATTGAATTCACTACGAATTTTGGCCATGATGAACGGCATTTGGAATGCAATCTTAGATTCCCTTGCCGATTTATTCATCAAGCTGTTTGCTTTGCAAGTTTTAGAAAGCACGGTGGCTGAGATTTGAATTCGATTTCGGCAGGTAGAAATCGTATGATTTCTCTTTTTAAAAGAAAAATATTTAATGAAAAATATCAAAATAAATACTACATAATTTCGCAAACAAAAACTATTTTAGAAATAAAAACTTACGTGTCCATGCAGTCTTTTCGTCCGCATATTCAGATTCCACTAAGGTTGTGACTGACGGATGGATGAAACTAAACGTGAAGAAAAGGACTCCTACAACTACTAGAGTAGGCCAGATTTTCATTACCAGTTTTTTCATTTCTCCAAAATTGATGTGTTCAGCATGTTGATCTTTTATATTTTCAACCTCATAATATTTAAATACTTGTGATTTTCTAGCAATCATAACAAACGTTATTGCGATTGTTATAAGCGTGGTTCCTGCAGTAAAATAAATTAATCCGGATGTAACGCTACTGTTGGTGACAGCCACCGAAATGATCTGTAAGGCGGTAGTCAGAAGAGTTCCATTTTGACCAATAAGGTACCAGAACATATAGCTTGGAGGTAGTTTAGCGATTAGTATAACTGATGACATTTGAAATGTTGCTACACCAGCTGTAACAAATAATCACTATATTTAATGTAAAAAGAGTACATCTACGTAAGTACTAAGTTAAAATGTATACATGTCTACGATAACTCTCTTTTTGGTAATAGAAGCTATGATAAACCAAGGCATTGACTAACCGTACATAAAAACTTTAGCAAATATATACAGACAAGTAAAAGCTAAGGTAAACATTTATGAATACACTTCAGAATTTCCCACCACCAAAGCTTGTCACTGCAATTCTAGAAAATATGTTCAAAAAAATGAACTGGCGGAAGAAAGAAATATCCATTGATGGATATCCTCAACCATCTAATAATACTGCAGAACTACAAAAACTTATATAAGTGATGTAAATGCAGCTAGCAATGAAGTTCGCCTAAAAGTGGACAAAAACAAAAACCATGTACAACGAGCTTCTTCTTCAAGTGCCATCTTCGTTCCGAAGGTTGGCGATCATCAGGGCTATACGTATTTTCGAAACTGCTGACCGAAACAATTCGTTGTTGCTACAGCTATACCATTCCCGTAGATTCTTTAGCTAGGAATTTCGTCTTCTTCCTATGGACCTTTTTCCTGCTATTTTCACTTGCATAATTATTCGAAGCAGTCCATATCTTTCGCCTCTTGTAATGTGTCCCAAGTATTGCAGTTTTCGTTTTTTGATCGTAAATATGGCTTCCTTTTCTTTGTTCATTCTTCTCAAGACCTCGACATTTGTGACTCTCTCGGTCCATGATATTCTCAGGATTCTGCGATACATCCACAGTTCAAATGCCCCTAATTTTTTGATATCAATTTTTTTTAACGTCCATGACTCCATTCCGTAGAACAGCACAGAAAGTACGTAACATCTCATCAGGCGAAGTTTCATTTCAAAGCTCAAATCTCTTCCGCAGAACACTCTCTTCATTTTAGTGAATATGGATCTGGTTTTTTCTATTCTTATTTTGATTTCTGCTGAGCTATCGTTGTCTTCATTTATAAAAGTGCCTAAATATTTGTATTTGCTAGCTCGATCGATAATTTTATTGTGTAAATATAAATTTTGGACATTTTGTGTTGATTTCGATATTACTACAAATTTAGTTTTCTTTATGTTCAAAGATAGTCCATATTTTTCGCTGCAGTCTGCTATCTTATTCACCAATGTCTGTAGCTCTTCAAGTGTTTCTGCGATCAGAACGTTGTCGTCGGCAAATCTCAGATTTTTTAATCTAACACCATTTATTTTAATCCCCACGGATTGCTCAGAGAGTGTTCTATTCATTACGTCTTCGGAATAGAGATTAAACAGGGTTGGTGACAGTATACACCCTTGTCTCACACCTCGCTTTATTTCAATTTCTTCAGTGGTATTATTCTCTACTCTCACTACTGCTTTCTGATTGTAGTACATATTTGCTATTAGTCGAATGTCTCGTTTATCTAAATTTTTTTCTGTCAGGAGTCTGATTAGGTGATCATGACACACTTTATCAAAGGCCTTGTTGTAATCTGTGAAACACATGAATACATCTTGATTTATGTCAAGACATCTTTGAGACATAACGTTCAGTGCAAACAACGCCTCTCTTGTTCCTAGTCCATTTCGGAATCCGAACTGGGTATCATTGATATCCATTTCCAGTTTTCTGTGTACTCTAGAGTGTATAATTTTCAGGAATATTTTCAGTACATGGCTCATCAGACTGATTGTACGGTAATCACTACATTGTTTGGCATTTATCTTTTTTAGTATAATAACAAATGTGGATAAAAGCCATTCTTGTGGTATTTTTCCTGATGTATAAATGCTATTGAAAAATTCAACTAAAATGTGAATCGAGTCTTTTTCTATTAGTTTAAGGATTTCCGTTGGAATTTCATCTGGACCTGGGGCTTTACCATTTTTCATTCTTTTTAGTGCGTACATTACTTCCTCTTCCGTTATTTCTGGACCTTCGTCTACTTGTATGTTACTTAGCTCAGATTGTTGTCTATCATCTGCAAAGAGTTCTTCAATATAGTTTTTCCATGTCTTCAACTGTTCTTCTAGTTCTGATATTATGTTTCCGTTGACATTATACAGGGTATTTGACTGCTTACGTTTTTGTGTACCTGCAAGTTCTTTGACTTTTTTATGTACGTTAAAAATATCATGTTTTGCCTGCAATTGCTCTATTTCTTCACATTTTCTTTTATAAAAATCTTCTTTTGCTATTCTAATTTCTATTTTGATTTCTTTCTGTATTTGTTTATACCTTTGTTCTTTTTTTCCTTTCATTATTCTCCGATTGTCCATGCGAAGAAGGATCTTATCAGTCATCCATCTTTTCTTTATTTTTGGTTTTTCTTTAGTCAGAATGTTCGCCCGTGAGTATCTGTCATTAAGACAACAGTAGAAATCATTCTGCTATAGTCTTAATGAAGTAATGTCATAGCTGCGTCCGCGAAATACAGAAGAGTCCCTACTTAATTTAGAACTCCTCCTCCACTCAAGCTGGGAAGGACACGAAAGACTCTAGTTGCCCATACTTAAAAAAGAAGTTACCAACAAGAGCGGATCAATAGGAAGTTGAAAATATATCTCCTATAATTGTACACAATATATGCAATACACAATACACAAAATGTAAACTACGTTAGACAACCTACGTTACACAACCACAACTACGATACACAAAACAGTTCATTATAAACATTTTCCAGTGGTATTGGTCTCCAATGGGGAATAAAATAAAATATCTTCTTGAATGTTATTATTTGTATCATATCTTACAAACGTAATGAATTAGGGACAGTTAGATATATCTGTGGATTCGTCCATTTGAAGAGAGAAGTACGTGCATTTATTAAGATTTTCCACAACTTGTGCTTGAATATCTTTTGCCATATCACTAATTCTTCTTTGGATAGTATTATTTGACAGAGGTATTGTATTTAATTTTGCAGCCTCTCTTTCCCCACACATTATATGTACCATTTCAACAGCTGCTGGAAAAATCAGATTTTCAGCAATTGTGTGTGGATTACTAGTTTTGGCAACACAATAAGCAACTTTATAACTTGCTAATAATGCTTTTTCATTAGTAGTGGTTGCCAAGGGAAAACTGTCTTGCTATTTGTAAAGGACGTTCAGCTTTCTTTCAAAGAATTCTATGGGCTTGTCTTTTTTATCTGGATGTTTGCTATTTAAAATGTCGAAGTAACTTTGATGGCTTTATGCTTTCTTTTAACAAGACTTGTCCACAAATAACACATTGTGGTTTATTGGAAATGACGGTAAACCATATTTAAGATATTCATCAATGTAGAATGTATTTTTCTTTTTATTGCTGCTACTGCCACTTTTAGACGTAGATGGTTCAGCACTTCTTTTTAAAAACTTATCCATAATTTATAATTTATCGTAGACGTAAATACGTAAACGAGAATACGTAAGTCGTAAAATATTTACTGATTACTCAACATAGGCTGTTTGGATTCGAACTGAGGTTTCGTTGCGCATCGCCGCTTATATAAAGCAAAAACGAGGCTACGAGAACGTTCCAGAGTGCCATCTAGTAGCGAGCGCTTTCGCGATTATCATGGAAGAGTTTCGCGATGTAGACACAAGCTAATATGTCGCGGTGTACAATGTGCAGTCGACTTCTTATTATTTATTTTTTTGTAAATGCTATTCTGGCAGAAGTACCTACTACTAATTACTAGTGGGACAGATCGCAATCATTAAAATAATTGTTTTAAAATAAAATAATTGTTTTTTATTTGATTTTTGAACTTAAACAGTAAAGTAAAATTAAATTTGAGACACCATCAGATAATTGTAAATTAGGCACGCTATTTCTGTCAAATAATATTGAATAAACGAGGGGAAGGAAATTGGGGAGTCGCGAACAAATTTTTTAGCAAAAACAGGTCGCGGCTTAGATAAGTTTGGGAAACTCTGGAATAAGTAATGGAAATAAAATACATGAGAATTACACTTTCTAGCTATAAAGACCTGGACAAAGAAGTGAGAGATCAAGTAAAAAAAGCAAATAGACTGGCGGGATGCCTTAATATTACTATATGGCGAAATAGACACATTAACACTCAGATGAAGTCAAGATATATGACAAAAATCAAGATATATACAAGTCAAGAATAATGATATATACCTCAAAAACAAGACCCGACACAGCCAAAATGCAAAGGCTACCGGAAATGGTAGAGACAAGAGCACTAAGAAGAATTACAGGAAATACGCTGGGAGATCGGAAAAGATTTAGTTAAGATATTAGAAGAAAATGTAACGTAAAGTGTATAAATAAGTGGACAAAAATTTTAAAAAAGAATAGAATATCCATTTAAGCAGAATGAAGGAGATCCGTATCCTTAAAATAGCCAGAGATAAGTCACCAATCGGCAGAAGAAGTATCGGACGACCGAGCCAAAGATTGAGTGCCACAACCTTTCATAGAGGTATTAATCCGCCATTGAACAAGCAGAATTGCTTATAAACAGGAAGTAGAAGAAGCAGAAGAAGATTTCTTTAACCATAGGTATGTTGATGACTACAAGATTGAGGCCAAGTCAGTCAACCATCAATTCTGAAAAACATAACCTACTAACAACAACAACTTGTTGGATACATTTTCCTAGAATTTTTATAATACACTTTAAAAAATGTAATTTTCATAGCAATCAATTATAGCTTAATATCTTCTTCTTCTTCTTCTTCTTCTTAGTCGTTATCCTGATGCAGGTATCGTGATATCATGAAGCTGTTAGGTAATGTTTCCAATGTTCCTCCACGTTTTTCTATCTTCTGCCAATCTAGCACATTCTGACAATGGAGCGCCAATGGTAGCAACTATATGGTCCGTGTATCGTGTAGGAGATCTACATCTACTTCTTTTGCCTTCTACTTTTCCCTGGATGGTAAGTTTTTCAAGACCATTTCTTCGAAGCACATGTACAAAATAGCTTATTATCTGTTCTGTTATTTGTGTTCTTAGTTTTTTCTTTATGTTTAGCTGGACCAGTATGGATTCATTTGTTCTTCGGGCCACCCATGGTATTCTCAGCATTTGTCTCCAGCAGTACATCTCAAATACATCTATGTTCTTTTTGTCTTTCTCAGTAAGGGACCAGCATTCCGATGCATAAGTAAAAACTGGAAAAACTAGACTTCTTACTAGTCTCATTTTTGTATCGGTAGTAAGTTCATGGCGTTTCCAAATTTTTGTTAATTTTGCCATAGCGCTTTTTGCGATTGCTGACCGCCGCTTTATTTCTTCAGTACAGCCTCCTTTGTTGGTTATTAATGAGCCCAGATACACAAATTTATCTACAACAGCGATATTGTTTATCCTAACCAGATGATTTTCATTGTTGTTAGCTCTGTCAATTATCATGATTCTCGTTTTTTCCCTGTTTATTTTAAGGCCCATCGTTAAGCTTACGTCTTCTATCCGTTGTAGCAGGTGAATCAATTCAGTTTCAGAACTAGCGAGGATAGTAGTATCATCTGCATATCTCAAGTTGCAAATCTTCTTCCCGCCAATGGTGATGCCACCGTTCCAGTCCTCAGTAGCTTTCCGCATTATCCATTCACCATAGATGTTAAATAAAATTGGGCTTAGTATGCAGCCTTGTCTCACGCCCTTTGTGACCCTGAAACTGTCAGTTAGTTCCCCATTTATTCTAACTCTGGCATAATTGTTATTGTACAGGCTTTTAATTAGCAGTATCAGATGATTAGGGACTCCCATTTCAGACAAAACCTGCCACATTTTACTCCAGTTGACCAAATCGAAAGCTTTACTATAATCTATGAAGCACAAATATGTTGTGATGTTGAATTCTCTGGAGTTTTCTACAATCTGCCGTACGTTTAAAATTTGTTCTCTAGTACCATGTTCTGGGACGAAACCTGCTTGTTCCTCCGCAATGTTAGGTAGTAAAAAGGGCTTTATCCTCTCGAGAATTATGTGTAAGAGTATCTTACTGCAATGCGCAATTAGAGCAATTGTGCGATAGTTGCTACATAAATCTTTCGCTCCCTTTTTATGTATGGGAATATATAGTGATTGTGTCTAGTCCTCAGGCCATTTACTTGTCTCCCACACTCTTTGACAAATTTGATGTATTATATCCACTCCAACGTCATCTAGGGCCCAAATCATTTCAATAGGTATGTTATCTGGACCGGCAGCTTTTTGACTTTTTTGCCTCATAATTGCTGCTTCAACTTCACTTTTGAGTACGTCAGGTTCCGTCGCAAAACTGGCATCTTCTTGTTGTGATGGGGCGTCTGTGCTTTCCTCCATCATCAGTCGTCCACAGTATTCTTTCCATATGTGTAAAATATCTTTTTTAGAAGTGAGTAGAGTTCCGTTATCATCTTTGATAGCAGGGTAGTTTGGTGTAAAGGAACGTGTTATCTACTTTATTTTTTTTAACATGTCTCTGGTCTCAGTTTTGGTTTTATGCCCTTCTATTTCCATGCAGATTTTGTTCAAGTGTGTGTTCTTGTCCTTTTTGCAGAGTCGTTTTATTTGACCGTTCAGTGCTTTATAGGCCTCTTTATCACTTTCACTGTTCAGTCCTGTGGCTTTTAAGCACTTCCTCTCCTGTATTTTAGTCCACGTGGAGTCCGTTATCCATTGTTTCCTTCTTTCTTCTCTATCACTCTTAATATTTTTCGCAGCATTATGCAATATGGATTTGGTTTTTGTCCATATGCTGTTTGAGGACTCGTCTGGATTTAATGATTGTTTGAGGTCACATAGCTTTTGCATTGCGGCTTTTTTGTACGACTCGTTATATCTTAGATGCCATTTAGTTGTTGTATTTCCTGTTTTTGGACTGTTTCTTAACTTCATGCGGAATTCAGCTGATAAAAATTGATGGTCGATATTACAATCTTTTCCTGGATAGGTCTTAACATCCTTAACAGCGCTCCTCCAACGGGTTTTTACCAGTATAAAATCTATCTGATTTCTGTATCTATTTCCTGGTGATATCCAAGTATATAGTCGTCTTGGGTGATGTTGAAAGCCTGTATTAGTAACAAACAGGTTGTTGTCTATACAAAAGTGTAGCAAGCGTTCTACTCTGTCATTTCTTTGGCCAAGTCCATATAATCCGACGGTCTCTCGCAAGTAATGATCTTCTGTAGTTACACCAATTTTAGCGTTGAAATCGCCTACGACTGCTGTGATTTCTCTATTTGGAAGCTATAATATAATATTATATAAATATAATTGTTCAAAGCAAGCAACAAATAGGTTAACCTAGCCGGAGATACTTGCACTTAGACATGCCATGAATGTAAGTGTAAATACAAATTATTAAAATTATAATCTGACAAATTGTACTTTATTTTAAAAATAAATTTAAAAAAATCAAAACAATATTTATTATAGATTACTTACCACTATTCAACATCAACAAAATTACAGTTAACGCAAAAAATGCAGTTTGCCCTAAAAAAAATTAAGTTCAGATTATGCATGTAATTATACAAAGATTATTTTATAAAATAGTAGCTCTATTATTAAGATATAATTGGGGATAAATGGTTAATATGTTCTTTCAGGGTTGTCGTATTTTGTTGAATGGGAAATAAAATCAACAATTTTAGAAACTCTCATTTCTGTGTACAACCTCACCTTCTTCTAATGTAGCAGATTCCTAGCATGTGGAAATAGGAAGTCCTATTTCCAAAATTTCAAGAATTTCTGGTTTGTGGTTATAAAATCATTACAATATAGATTTAAAATCTCACTTCAAAACTCAATTTATAAAAAAGACGATATTTTGACAATCGGGACTATAGAAGGATCAATACACAAATTTATTTTTAGTGAGTCTTACGCAATATTATGCGTAGTCATCCCATTTGACTACATTATAAAACTAAAATAAAATACTATCTTACTTCGTCAAATACATAGTAGACACCTGTCAAACTGGAATCCGTCCTTATAAGTCCACAATATAGACCAAGTTACCAGTCTGCGACAAATTAAAAAAAACCATAAGAATATGGTATAGACACCAATACGGAATATGGTTTTTAACGATTAATATATTTAATAAAACGTACTCTCTACGACGCAGATGCAGACGACATGTGTAGTTCTGATAGCAGAAACTGTAGATCTCTTTGAAATTAAAATAGAATTAAACGAAACGTTTAGAAATATGGAGCTTCAAATGAATTACGAAAAAAAACTGAGCTGTAAAGATACTGACACTTACATCTCCATCTATAACCATCCAATTCAAACAGTCAGTTAGTACATATATCTAGTGAAGACTGTAAAATAGGAGATAATCCAAAAACAGAAAATGCCAAACGTGTTATGCTAACTAACATGGGCATTAATTACTTTTAAACTGGGAATAAACCACAAGTTTATTGTGGTTTATTCCCAGTTTAAAAGTAATTAATTTACAATGCCACAAGAAAATAGCTTCAGAACAATAACATGGGCATCATTCGGTAGATCGCCAGGAAGCAAGTGGTAAATATAATTAAAGAGAAACTGTTGTATCATATTTACCCTTTTAACACAATTATTAAGTAATCTTTTTTTGAAAACGATTTCCGAAATGGAAATCAAAACGTAAAATTTTTAAATATAAACACAATTTTTTACTTGACATGTCACAAGAAAACCATTTTAGTAGTGTTTTATTGGACTTGGCATTTCTATGTCTCAAATGTTCTGTCGACTCTACAGTTATTCCTGAACAAGCAGGGCTTAGACCCGGAAAATGTTGCTGCAGTCAAACTCTTAATCTCACTCAACATATATAAAGATGGGTTTGAACGGAAAGAAATAACAGGAGTAGCGTTCATAGACCTGACTGTTGCCTATGACACAGTTAATCATCAACGGCTTCTGGTAAAACTCTACGAAATTACAAAGGACTTTCGACTAACAGGTTAATGAAATATCTTCTCCAGAATAGACGCTTCTACGTAACGCTCCAGTCCAAGAACAGTCGGTGAAAGGATTAAAAAATAGACTTCCACAGGGAAGTGTCCTCGCGCCATTGCTATAGAATATTTACACCAACGACCAACCCAAAAGACAACCAACAAAACATTTAAGACAAACAAGTCGAAGTAAAACTGATAGATGCCCTAGAAGACTTAGCACTATTCTATGACGAAAACCATCTAAAATCCAATTCTATAAAAACTCAAACTTCTATAAAGCATGCCTAAAGAACACTGGAGGTGAAATGGCGTGGTCAGATGCTGAAACACAATGAGACGCCAAAATAGTTCGGCGTACGTCTGGATAGAACTCTCTCTTATCGATACCACTGTCAAGATATTCAGAAAAAAGTAAGCACCAGAAATAACAGCATCCGGAAACTAACAAACACAGAATGGGGAGCACAACCCCACTCTCTGCGTACTTCTGCTTTAAAATTATGTGTGTCTGTCGCCGAGTTTGGAGCACCAATTTGGGAAAACTGCTCACGCTAAAAACGTTGATGTTGCGTTAGCTGAAAAGGTTCATATAATATCTGGTTGCCTGAAACTAACACCAAGTCACCCCTTGTATAACCACCAAGTTCAGCCAAGTAGATTAAGATCTCGGAAAAGCTTTCTGAATAAATCACGATCCATTCCCGAAGAGCCAAAAACGCGCCGAATACACCTATGGCAAGCGTCAGCTACAATACGTTTTGCTCCCTCAGAGGAAATGGCCGCTGGACACAATTTGCCGTATCCCACATGGAAATCACTAAAAATACTAAGAACTGGTGTTTCACGATTTGCTAGTAACCTAAAGAAATGGGGATACCAGGAGGACGGACGATACCTGCGACTTTTACACGGTTTAAAATAGTCACCATCTACTATCGTGCACAAAAATGATAGAGAGATGCACAGAAGAAGACCTAATTTTAGCGAATGACAGGGCCATCTATGTGGCCAACCATTGGAACATAGAATTTAAAGCTGTTTGTGTTCTGGGCATGGAAAGGAAGTAAGTGTCAAATAAGTATATGGATAGCGCAGTAGATTTCATTATGTCAGTTATCAGATTTATTATTTGTATCAAAAAATCTACTTACATGAATCTGTGTCAATTTGAGTAAATATTGCAAATATAGCAAACACAAGACCAAGTAACACTAGCGAAGCAAGACTCCTGAACATGGATGATATTTTGTGACCATAAAATGTCAACAATATGGTACAAATTACACTTGGTATTGTACCACCAGCCATAAGTGCAGGCTGGAAATATACCTGCAATTTAGTTCGATCTTGACCTTCTGTTACAACATCTCCTAGTGTTGCATTTCTAAATTTGTACATCCAATACTAAAACAAACAGTTTTATTACTAAAACAGCACAAAATTCGTTTTTATAACTAAAAAGGGTGTTAGAGATGACATAGTAACAGAGATAATACGATATAATTTAAATAAGAAATGAAAACGGAGAGCTTGTACCATTTGTTTCCACTCTGTATATCAAATTTTTTTTTAGGATTTTATATCGTCGGATGTATGCAATAGTGACTTAACTCAAAAAATGACAAAATTAAGTTAACGTCGCCAGAGTATTTATGACCTGCAAAACTGGCACAATAATAATAGAAAAATCCGCTAGACGTCATTAATGTCACTATGACATATTGTCGGTTAAGATAAATTGTTTCTTGCAGTACTGGCCCTTTTTAATTGTGCTGTGAATGTCGAACTGTGTCAATATCAAGTTTCTATACAATACCGACACTTTTGAGTTGTGCCACAATAGCAGACAGTTTTAGATATTTTCAAACTGTATAAGTGAGAATGTTTGAGTTGTGTCACATTAAATAAGAGGAAAAATTTATTGTTTTAAAAATGTCAGATCCAAAAGGTTATCTTAATACACGATTTTTGTAAAAGCTATTCTACATCAGTTATCAATGTAAGCATAGGTTCATATGTAGTTCATAAACGTCAATGAATTTGTAAAAATTTTAAATTTAACTTGCATTATTTTTTTCCAAAAAGACCAATGTCAGTATTATGAAAAATACAAGAATTCGAGCAGTGAAGAAAAAATAGCCCACGAAGAAGCTTATACATGTAATAACCGTCATAAAGAGAAAAACTTGGCCGGGAGCTAAAAAAACTTGACAAAGATAATGTAACTAATTTACAAAAAGTTGCTTGTTTTGAACTAAAAGCTTCTCTACTGACACAAAAAATATATGCTGTCAACATAGCAGTTCTCTATATGTGAACTTTAGAAATAGGGACTGGGAAATGTGCAATTTGTCACGAAGGAGAAGGCAGTAAATGTGCTATAGAGATTGGTTCATGCCTGCTGATGTATTTGGAATAAACATCTATAAAAACCGATTTTGACGATTTGAAATTCATATTTTACGCAGACATTGTGGTGGTCAAGGGATAACAAGTACCTAATTTCAATGTATCAGTACGCTGTAATTTATTTCAAAATTTCTTCTATAACTCATCACTATTTAGTTGTCGGCCATACTCAAAATGAGGATGACAGCTGCCACTCTATAATAGAAAGAAATATCACTAAAGCTTTAAAAAGGAGGGCCTATTATTATCTACCGACTCATTCTATTTATCGCTAGCCCAAAATCTATTCATGTGTTTAATATAGGCCTGTCCCATTTGTCTTCATTTATCTCTGTCTTCTGTTTGTTTTTTCCACATTGGACCTGCGCATTGCTCAATGTCATTTTTCCATCTCATTTGCGGTCGACCTCTTGACCTTTTTGCAGTATATGGTCTCCAGCAGCCAATTTCTCTATTCCATCTTCTATCCTGATATCTTTCGTTATGCCCAGCCCATTTCCATTTTAATTTCAATGCATGTTCGGCAGCGTCTGTTGTTTCGGTTTTGCATCTTATCCACTCGTTCCTCTTTTTATCTCTCAACGATATTCTTAACATTTGTCTTTCCATAGCTCTTTGAGTTTTCTTTATTCTATCTAAGTTGCTCTTGGTACACATCCACGTCTGGGCACCATATGTCAAAACAGGTAGAACGCATGCATTAATACCTTCGTTCTTAATTTTAAAGGTATTTTTTGGTTTTTATTTTTTAATCGATGTATACAATTAAAAGGAGATCGATAGAATATCTCGGTCACATAATGAGAAACGGCACTAAATACAGATTATTGAAAGTATTCGGAAAGCGAGGAATTGTGAGAAGAAGAATATCATGGATAAAAAACCTGAGAAAATGGTTCTCCACAACAACAACAAATCTATTTAAATCGTCAGTTAATAAAATAATTATAGTTAAAATGATCGCCAATATTCCAACCGAACAGACACCAAGAGAAGAAGACTACTAATGATAAGCATATATCTCTATAGCTTTTGTACATGGTTTCTTCTCCTTTCTTATGTATTCGAGTCAATACAATGCCCTCCTATTCTCTCGACATTTTATTTTTTCTCCATGCTTTTCTCATAGCGACACAAAGACACAAAATCCTTATTTCATACACCCTCTAGTGATACGGAGAAAGAAGAAGTTGAAAAATTCTAAACTGATCTTAAAGAGATATTGAAAAGTTACAGTAAGATAACATTTTCAAGAGCACGCAATTATATGTATTTTTTTAAGTATGGGTGTGGTTAATTTAAGATTAAGTTCAAGTGGGGGCCCAAAAGGGGGCCAAGGGTTTTCCCACTGTACCTAGTAAATTAGCAACCCTTTTAGAGAATTTAATTTGCTACAAACAATGTTTAATAAAATTTTCTTCGAAAATGAATGAAATGAAAAAAATTGATAGTAGAAGTATTCTATGAAAAACCATCTATGATATTGCGCTGATGTCATTTTATTGTAAAATTACCAGAAAAAAAGTTAAAAAGACCAAAACAAAAATTTGTTTCAAAACTTTTAGTTAGTTGTGTTTATATTTCCCATTTTACGATTAAAAATAATAGAAATAAAGTTGTAGACAATTTAATTTGCTACTTATTTTCTTGTAGTTCCTTCTCTAATCGGAGGTTGGCTATCATCACAGCTATTCGTATCTTATTGGCGGCTGCTCTAAAAAGATCTACTGAGCTGCAACTATACCACTCGTTTAGGTTTCTTAGCCAAAAATCTTTCACCCTTGATTATACCTTGTATTATGAGCCTTAATATCTTATATTTCATACCTCTGGTAATATGGCCTAAATATTCCAGCTTTCTTGTTTTGATGTGCTTAATAACCTCGCAATCCTTTGGTAGCCTTCTTAATAATTCCAACTTCTTTATATTATCTACTTTTAGTGTCCAGCTTTCCATTCCATACAACAAAGTCGAGAACACGTAGCATCTAATCCTCAGCTACAGAGAAAGGTCTCGATTAACAAACATTGTTTTGATTTTTATAAATGCTTGTCTTGCAATTTCAATGCGTGTCTTTATTTCTCTATCTTGGTCATTGTTTTCATTTACCCACGTTCCTAGATATGTGTAGTTATTTACATTATCTACTTATTTTCCTCTTGTTAGCCACTTTTCCTTGGCTGTCTAACTAGCCTATGGCTAGTCTGTCGCTACAGTCATCCACCTAGAGCCCACATGCTTCTTGATATCATCTGCCCATCTCATTTGGGGCCTTCCTCTGCTTCGTTTATATTCCCACGGTCTCCAACTTATAAGAATTTTGTTCAATCGGTCTTCATTTTGTCTTATATTGTGTTCGGCAAATCTCCATTTTAATTTTGCAACTTCTTGTCTAACATCCCTTAGTTTTGTTTTCTCTCGTATCCACTCGTTTCTCTTTTTATCCATTAGCCAACCCAAAGAGCAATGGAAATACAAATGTGCAACATTTGTATTTCCATTGCTCTTTGGGTTTTTATGATTTTGTCAATGTTTGCTTTTGTAAATGTCCACGTTTGGGAACTATAAGTGAGAACAGCGAGTACGCATTGATTGTATACTTTGCTCTTAAGATGCTGTGGATATCGTTTGTTTTTAAGAATGTAGCTTGTTTTGGAAAATGCTCGTCAAAACATAAAAAATGTAACATTTCAATGGACTAACATTACAACTCGTACAATATAGAGACATAAGAGTAATCGTGGAGACTTTGAATTTATGAAACAGTGTTCTTATTAAATTAAACAATCGATACTTACAGACTTTGCTGTACTAAAAAATACCATTGGCATAACATTCATAAATCCAACGAAGAAACAGGCGATATGTACTGCAAACATAAAATCTTTTGGTCCTTTTGAAGGATCATGTTTATTAGATACTTTTCGTTCTTCTGCAAATTTGTCACTAAAAGCTGAGAGTATGGATACTAGAAAAGAAAAAAGGTTGTAAGAGCATTTATTTACTACAATCCATTTACAACAGCATAGTGGTTATATTGATCAACAAAATAAATATCGGCTGAATTCAATATTAACGTCTTATAAAGAAATCTTTTTATGACTTTTAATCTTTAATAAGTTAATTTTAAACTCAGCTATTCCGAAAATTTGTATTTATCTTGATAGCCCAAGAGACCACTGCAGGATCATTACATTTTTACATACATTTAAATTTAGGAGAATACATTGATAATAGGTTGCCAGTCAAAAAGTGGCTGCAAATATTTTTAATTCAATTAATAATAACTGATTTTTGAATAAATGTTTTATTTCGTTCATTCATTTTTTAAAATAAAACACGAGGTACACGTAAACTCATCACCAATTACCAAAAAGATCCTTTTTATGAACGAGAGAGTAATTAGCATAATTTTAACTGGTACCTTCGACCACTCCATGGGCGTGCTCAGGATTAATTGAAAAATTACTTTGAATAATTGTAAAAAATAAATGAATTATTTCAGTGTTATAAAGTGTTATGTGTATGTAAACAAAAGTGACCTCTTTTATCACACACTATATTAGAACTGACTGGCCTACATTAAAAAGGGTTTTAAAAAATTCAAATTTTTTTTAATTTTTAAAAATTACAAAAGAGAAAAAGAGTTTTTAAAACCATCTAAGGTATGTTAGATAGATGAATAAAAATATTAATATAAAACTTACAGCTACTTGTTACAAATCCAAATCAGATTCAGAAGATGAACTTTCAGAACCAAGATTTATAATAACTGGCTCGATCATTTTATCAGTAATATTGTCCAGCTTCCACATTTTTTCCTCTTCTTTAATAGTGTGATTTACTGCCTTTTCCCAGTTTTCAGGTTTTACATTATTTACGGCCTCCAAAAACAACTGTTTAACATCATGAATTTTAAAAGTGGTATTTTTTCTTGAAACTTCACTCTTTATCTGTGCCCATACCAGTTCAATCGGGTTTAATTCACAATGATATGGTGGGGATCTAAGTACTGTCATTCCACGATTTTTGGCAATTTCATCAATTTCGTATTTTTTAAATTTTTCTTTATGAAGGGCACACAACGAATAAAGTTCCTTTCTTATAGATCCGGGATGGTACGTAATATTTTTTGAACTCAGCCAATTCTGCAAGTCTTTTTTTAACCACTTGGTTGTGGGCAGTCCTTCTATAAGTCTGGAGTGATAAATTGCATTATCCATTACTATTACACAGTTCTTAGGAAGAAGATCTATCATTTGTTCGAACCATTTTTGAAAGACATCAGCGTTCATGTCTTCATGGTAGTCACCGGTACGAGTTGATTCAAAAGTTAATAAACCACCTTCAACAAAACCGTCTGAACTGCCAATGTGTACTATTATCGTATTATCAGCCTGCGTCCCTTTCCTGATGGTGAGTTTAAACCAGTAGATAAGTTATTTACAAAAGCGTGCCTTTGACTTGTAACAGTTTCATCCTGCCAAAATTTATTTGGTGTATGACCCTCGTTGATCCATGTTTCATCAAGATAAAATATTTTTCTTTTTTGGTTTCTCATTTCCTTTATGGTTCTTAGAAAATGTCTTCTTCATATGACAATATCGCTTCTTTCTAATAAAATAGACTTTCTGGGATTCTTTTTCCAGCGGAAGCCTATTTCTTTTAAAAGTTTCCATAACGTACTTCGACTTATTTCTGGGTAATCCTTATCATCTCGAACTGAGACAAGAACTTTATCCAATGTTGGAAATTCTTGTCTAAAGAAGAATTCATGCACTTTCCGTCGAAGTCCTTCTTTAAAATGATATTCTATTTGAAATTTTGGTTTCCCTGGAGCATTACGTGGCATTTGAAAACTACCACATTTCTCTTCTTTAATAACTCTGTAAATCGTAGATTTCCCAACACCAAGTGTACTGCTAACTAACTCAACGGTCTGATCAACACTTTCACATAAACGTTTGTCTGTAAATGATTTAAAACAATTAAATATTAATGTTTTTTCATTAACTGTTAAAGGACCAATTTTTCGGCGTTTACACGGCACTTCTAAATTTTCCATAACACTAGTATACACAATAAACTGCACCTTGCAACTGAAGTACCTACCTTTAGTGAACTGTTAAGAATTTTGAATACGCCACTTGGACCTTCCTACAAACTGGAAAAACCCACTATCACATTTTCTGTGGAATAAGTTTAGAAGGTAATTATCTAGTCAATTACTGTCGTAGATTCCTGGAATTAAAGAATTAAATGTTTGATTGTTGAAACCCTTACTTCGTGGAATGCACTCATTTCAGATAAAATAAAACGTTTTATTTTATCTAAAGAATTAAAGTTTATTTTGCAAATAGGTAGGTACTTATTAAACTTTTATTGGTTATATATAACCAATAAAATAAACATCTTACATTTCTTGCAAATTCATTAGTACCTGTTAACCTCCATCACTCCGACACTGGCAACCTTATTTAGGGATTAGTAACCCTCACAACTATTGTATTCTATTCTGCTCCAACCTTTATACCTGGTGGTCATACTCAATTTAAAATTGTTTTTCGTACATACTTCTGTAAACTTGTTGACAAATATCTGTTTTTCATTGAGTCACCCGTATCAATAGTTTAGGGATTTGCATACATAATTTATTGTTTTATTACTCTCTCATACATAAAAATACACTATAGTAATTTGACAAAATAATCTCAAATAGAATGTTTTAAATGCAAATGCAATTCACTTGCTGTTTTTCCTTTAACATGGATAGTGAACTGCTCGTTGATTACGTTTTGAGCCAACGCGAACGAAAAACGATGGTTATCAATATTTTCCAATTTCAATTGCGATAGACTCTAAAATCGAGTTGCCTTTTGTGGACTCGTGCGACGAAAGTGTGTAAGGCTAAATGTCATACAACTAGTGAATAAATTTAATACTGTTTCTTTTTAGCTGTTTGACGCTGATGGCGGATCATTTCGATCAAACAGAAAAAAAAACAACCACTTGAAAACAACCTAAATCGTGCTACATACAACGTCTTGTATAGCAGAAAATAATTTTTGGTGATAGACCACTTAATTCTAAAGAACTTCGCTATTTTCCTTCTTTGACACAATTTCCATGTTTCGCGAACAGTGGTACAGTGAAACACCCTGCATAAACTATAAACTTTTGCGCATGTAGAACATTAAGTTCTTTCCTCTTCTATGCAATAATGGCACACTCAAGTTTTTAGCTTTTTCTCTTTTTTTAAATCGGTATCACTTGGAACGAAATCTTCCAAAACGGTATCACTTGGACCGAATGTATGCTCAAAAAATTATCTCTAGAGTTCAATAAGCAATATAAAAAGGGGGTGCAAATCAAATAACGAAGTGGGGGACTATTTCCGATATAAACGAAAACAGCACATGCTCACAAACATTTTCATTATTAAGTTTTCTATCGAAAACCTAAGCAACTGAATTTTCAGATCCCATTCAGATTGGCAGATACGTCTAATAGGCCACTCACCGTGAGACAACCGATATTAATATCTATTTTAAAGCAATATGCTTAAAATAAGTTTCGAATTTAATAAATTATCATATAAACGAGAAGTGTAACAGGTATCAGGCAGTCTTCTGCATTATAAACCAGCGCGTTAGTCCTAAAATGCTGGTGATGAGTTTACCTATCTGCGGTGATGAGTTTACCGATCTCCAAAGGATGCCGGTGATCAGTTTACTCTATCTTGGAGGGTCTAATAATTTTATGGGAGGCGATAAAGTGATGGCACACGTCCAAAATACGCTGCTCATGACATATGTGCATGTTTTTTATAATAAATTATCCCCAATAATTGTGGTTTGATTAGTGATGGTTTCTATAGGGACTTAAAATCGGCTGACGTGTGCAAACAACTCATTTTTTACTCTGTTGGGAGAATTTATTTTTAAGAAAACCACTGGATCAAATTGTAAATATTTTTTATGATATAGTTTACTTAGCTATAGAATTATTTATCCCCTAAAAAGGTATTCAAAACTAGATTTCCTTCTTGGTTCTCTCCAGAGCTAAAGGACCTGACAGTTGACAAAAAAAAGCTCACAAAAAATATCTTTTACCTCAGTCACTTCTCGATTATCGCACTTTTCCTCGGCTAAGGGCAAACTGTAAATTGTTAAAATCTTAAGGCTACAAAAATCAGATTTATTTAACAGAATTATGACTAGGAAAATAATTTGAAGGGATTTTGGTCGTTTGTTAATTTACAGAGAAGAAAGCCTGTCCGCTGTGTTGAGTTATGGTGGTGTTTAATATTACTAGCCTTTTTTTCCAATGTGCCTTTGGAAAACCTTGATATAGGTAGAGTAGGGATAATATATTGACAACAAAAATCAAACTGAATGTATTAGCTATAAACAAGCTATTAACACTATGCATATACAACACCTATTTTCAACTAGACTACGATTTTTATAAACAAGGTTTTGGACTAGCCATGAGCTCTTCATTATATTTATTATTAAAATAAATATTCATGAAAAACTTGGAGCAAAACATTGTGTAAAAATATGACCAGAAACCCCCAATATAGAGGACATATGTAGATTATGTATTATCCATTTGACCTCATAAACCAGAAGCATTGAATAAATATTTAATGAACATTAACTGTATAGAATAATCAATTAAATTCACCATCGAAAAAGAAAACACTAACTTACTACCTTTTCTGGATGTATTGGTCACAAAGTAGGATACAGCATATGTTACCAAATTCTCCAGAAAACTAACATATACTAACAATCATAAAATGATCACTTAAAGCACAACAAAACATCTGCTCCAAGGAAAAATCATTCCAGGAAGAAAAAAACATGTCAACAGAAAATCATTATCAATTGTCATTTATGCCAACACCATAATCCAGAAACACCATAATCCAGAAACTCTTACAAGAAGGGATTTGAAGATGAG